TACCCACCCTCGTGCCTCTGTGTCCTCTGTCTCCGCTCTTACTGCCGCAGTCACTGAGTTTGCCTCTGCTCGCCGCCTTGACTTCGCCACCAGTCTTGTGGCTGCTCCTCCTTCCAGTCCTCTGGCCGTCGGGGATGTGTCTGCCCTTGGCTGTGACGCCCTAGAGGACAGGCAGTTTGAGCTAGAGTTCCTGGCAGCCGCTTCCCCTCATCTCTGTGCCATGCTGCTCGCCCCTGAGGGAGACCCCAACGCCCTTGACATACCGACTCCTCGCACTTACGCTGAGGCAGTGTCAGGGCCTTGGGCCTCTCAGTGGAGAGCTGCCATGGACGCAGAGATGGCCTCCTACAGATCCACAGGCACCTACGTCGACGAGGTTCCCCCCCCCTGGGGCGAACGTAGTCGATGGCATGTGGATCTACAGGGTGAAGCGGCCACCGGGATCTCCTCCGGTCTTCAAGGCGCGCTACGTGGCTAGAAGTTTCAGTCAGCGCGAGGGAGTTGACTTCTTTCAGACCTTCACGCCCACCCCGAAGATGACCACTTTTCGGGTGTTACTGCACGTAGCGGCACAGAGAGACTACGAGTTACACTCTCTCGACTTCTCTACTGCGTTTCTTCAGGGTAGCCTACACGAGGAGGTCTGGCTGCGTCGTCCCTCTGCCTTCACTGGCACTTTCCCTCCTGGGACCCAGTGGAGGCTGAGGCGACCTGTCTACGGTCTCCGTCAGGCTCCTCGTGAGTGGCACGGCACTCTTCGTTCTACCCTCTCTGACCTTGGGTTCCAGCCGTCTTCTGCTGACCCGTCGCTGTTCGTTCGTCGTGGCTCTACACCGTTCTTTGTTCTGGTCTACGTCAACGACCTGGTTTTCGCCACTGCTGACAGGGTTGCCTTGGCAGACGTGAAGTCCGAACTGCAGAAGAGACACACGTGCACTGACCTTGGTGAGCTGCGCCACTACCTTGGCCTGCAGATCACCAGAGACAGAGCTTCTCGCACCATTACACTCTCACAGTCACACATGGTGCAGCAGGTCCTTCAGCGGTTCGAGCTTCAGCACTCCACTGTACAGCGCACACCTCTTGCTGTTGACCACAGACTCACTGGACCCTTTCCTGACGAGCCGTTTGAGTCCAGTGGTCCCTACGCAGAGCTAGTGGGCTGCCTCATGTACCTGATGACTTGTACTCGCCCGGACGTCGCCTTCCCTCTGAGCGTCCTTGCTCGCTTTGTTGCGCCAGGGAGGCACCGTGCTGTTCACTGGACGGCAGCTGTGAGGGTGGAGAAGTACCTAGCGACGACATCAGGCGTGGGGCTAGTTCTTGGAGGGCAGCAGCCTGTCGTACTTACTGGTCACTGTGACTCTTGTTACGCTGACGACGCTGAGACTCACAGGTCTACTCAGTGGTACTGTTTCAGCTTGGGTTCTGGAGCTGTTTCGCGGCGGTCCACGCACTCCTCTTCGGTCTCGACCTCTACAGCTGAGGCTGAGATCTACGCTGGTGCCATGGCGGCACAGGAGCTGCGTTGGTTGACGTTTTTGCTCGCTGACCTTGGTGAGCGGCCGAGCTCTGCACCGACCTTGTTCACTGACAACAAGGCGTCGATTCTCCTCTGTCGTGAGCCATGACTGGAGAGCAGAGTGAAGCACATTCACGTCAGGTACTTCCTTCTGCGAGAGTTGCAGAGACGTGGACAGGCTCGCTTCGAGTTTGTGGAGTCCGAGGCCAACACTGCAGACATCTTCACCAAGGCGCTTCCGCCTTGTGACCACCAGAGGTGTTGTGTGCAGTTAGGCCTTGTTGACACAGGTTCTAGTCGTGTATAGGCTTGAGTTTACTGTTTGCTTTACTTGTACTCTTGCTATACACACTTGTGAACTCAGAATGTGTGATGACGTTGTGATCCACCCTGAGCTTTGTATCTTTGTGACTGATCTTGTGACCGTACACTTTTGGTTTTGTTAGACACCCCTCACTTAGGCTATGGGGGTGTGTCAAATGTTGTAGCCTTAGTGAGGTTTGTCTTAGGGGGTACAGATGTTAGGGTTTGTTATATGTACCCCAACCAACATCAATGAACCAACTCTTTCGTTCTTGACACTAGCCTATCCCACCTCTCCCTACACCTCCCTCCCTCCTTCCCTCATCTCCCTTCTCAGCTCACGGGCCCTGCAAAAAGCAAAATCAGAGAAATCAACACACACACGCCCTGCACAACGCAAAATCAGAGAAATCAACACACACACGCCCTGCACAAAGCAAAATGAGAGAAGTCAACACACACACGCCCTGCACAAAGCAAAAACAGAGAAGTCAACACACACACGCCCTGCACAAATAAAAAACAGAGAAGTCAACACACACACGCCCTGCACAAATAAAAAACAGAGAAGTCAACACACACAAGCCCTGCACAAAGCAAGTACAGAGAAGTCAAGACACACACGGCCTGCACAAAGAAAAAACAGAGAAGTCAACACACACACACCCTGCACAAAGCAAATACAGAGAAAGCAACAGCACACCTTGCACAAAAAACAGTGTATGTTCACACACTGGTACAAGAAAGCAAAAAGGCCATGACGCTAGCGCTTCAGGCGCGGCACACTAGGTGTCATGCCAGCGCCCAAGCGTTACAGCCCGCTGCACGAGCGTGCTAGGCACTAGCTCGCTAGTTGCCAGCGGCCTAGACGAGCGTCTGAGGCGCCAACACCTTAAAAACCTGCACTCTAAGCGCTAGTGCAGAAAGCGACACTCATTTGTCTCAATAGCCCCAGTTGCCCAAGCACCAGCAGAATAGATGCTAGTGCATACGCCCCAGCATGCTCATGCGCTCTCTCACTCACTCTCTCACGCGCTCTCTCACGCGCTCTCTCACGCTCCCTCACGCACTCCCTCACGCGCTCCCTCACATGCACCCACACGCGCACTCTCACGCTCACTCTCACACGCTCTCTCACGCATCTCTCGGGTCTCACTCACTCTCTCACGCGCACTCTCACGAGCACTCTCATGCGCACTCTCACGAGCACTCTCACGTGCACTCTCACGCGCACTCTCACGTGGTCTCTCACGTGAGCTCTCACGCACACTCTCACGCTCTCTCACACGCTCTCTCACGCGCTCTCTCACGCGCACTCTCACACGCTCTCTCACGCGCTCTCAGGTGCTCTCTCACGCTCTCTCTCACACACTCTCTCACACGCTCTCTCACACGTTCTCTCACGAACTCTCTCACGCGCTCTCTCACGCGCACTCTCATGCGTACTCTCACGCTCTCTCACGCGCTCTTTCACGCGCTCTCTCATACGCAACCTCACGCGCTCTCTCACGCGCTCTCTCATGCGCTCCCACGCGCTCTCTCACGCGCTCCCACGCGCTCTCTCACACGCACCCTCACGCGCTCTCTTACGCGGTCCCTCATGCGCTCTCTCACGCGCTCTTTCACGTGCTCTCTCATGCGCACTCTCCCGCGCATTCTCTCTCTCACGCGCTCTCTCACGCGCTCTCTCACGCGCTCTCTCACGCGCTCTCTCATGCGCACCCTCACGCGCCCTCTCACGCGCACTCTCATGCGCACCCTCACGCGCTCCCTCACGCGCTCCCTCATGCGCTCTCTCACGCTCTCTCAAACGCGCTCTCACACGCGCTCTCTCACGCGCTCTCTCGCGCGCTCTCTCACGCACACACTCACGCGCACTCTCAGGCACACTCTCGCACGCTCTCTCTTGCGCACTCTCACGCGCATTCTCTCTCTCACGCGCCCTCTCACACGCTCTCTCACGCGCTCCCTCACGCGGTCACTCCTGCGCTCTCTCGCGCGCTCTCTCACGCGCTCTCTCACACGCTCTCTCACGCGCTCTCTCACTCGCTCTCTCACGCTCTCACGCACTCTCTCATACGCTCTCTCACACACTCTCTCACGGGCTCTCTCACGCGCTCTCTCACGCGCACTCTCACGCGCTCTCATACGCGCACTCTCACACAAACTCTCACACGCACTCTCTTGCACACTCTCACGTGCACTCTCTCTCACGCGCACTCTCATGCGTACTCTCACGCTCTCTCACGCGCTCTTTCACGCGCTCTCTCACGCGCTCTCTCATGCTCTCTCTCACGCGCTCTCTCACGCGCACCCTCACGCGCTCTCTTACGCGGTCCCTAACGCGCTCTCTCCCGCGCTCCCTCACGCGCTCTCTCATGCGCACTCTCACGCGCATTCTCTCTCTCATGCGCTCTCTCACGCGCTCTCTCACGCGTACTCTCACGCTCTCTCACACGCTCTCTCACGCGCTCTTTCATACGCAACCTCACGCGCTCTCTCACGCGCTCTCTCACGCACTCTCTCATGTGCACCCTCACGCGCCCTCTCACGCGCTCTCTCATGCGCACCCTCACGCGCTCCCTCACGCGCTCTCTCACGCTCTCTCACACGCGCTCTCACGCGCGCTCTTTCACGCGCTCTCTCGCGCGCTCTCTCACGCACACTCTCACGCGCACTCTCACGCGCACTCTCAGGCACACTCTCGCACACACTCTCTTGCGCACTCTCACGCGCATTCTCTCTCTCACGCGCTCTCTCACGCGCTTCCTCATACGCAACCTCACGCTCTCTCTCATGCGCGCTCTCACGCGTTCTCTCGCACGCTCTCTCGCGCTCTCTCTCGCGCGCTCTCTCACGCGCTCTCTCCTGCGCTCTCTCCTTCGCTCTCTCATGCGCATTCGCTCTCGTACACACGCTCTCCCTCCCGCTCCGTGTCTCCCCTTCGCTTAATAAAAGTGCAATGCAAGAGGAGACCAATTGACACACAAAAATTACGGAGAGAGGGAGAGAAAAAAAAAAAGAAATTTCAGGGGGGAAAGTAGGATGAAAGGACCGGGAACGCACCTAATAACCACGGTGCCTCAGAAAACAACCCGCGCTCGCGCACCAACCCGCGCTCGGCACCAACCTGCGCTCACCAACCCGCGCTCGCTCACCAACCCGCGCTCGCGCACTAACTCGCGCTTGCGCTCCGGGCACCTGTCGCCGGAGGAGACGGCGGGGAGGAGGGAGAGGCGACGGAGGAGGAGAAAGCGGCGAGGCGGGGAGGAGGGAGCGGCGACGGCGGGGAGGAGGGAGAGGCGACGGCGGGGAGGAGGGAGAGGCGAAGGCGGGGAGGAGGGAGAGGCGACGGCGCAGATGAGGGAGCGGCGACGGCGGGGAGGAGGGAGCGGCGACGGCGGGGAGGAGGGAGAGGCGACGACGGGGAGGAGGGAGAGGCGACGACGGGGAGGAGGGAGAGGTGACGGCGCGGAGGAGAAAGCGGCGACGGCGGGGAGGAGGGAGCGGCGACGGCGGGGAGGAGGGAGAGGCGACGGCGGGGAGGAGAGAGAGGCGACGGCGGGGAGGAGGGAGAGGCGACGGCGGGGAGGAGGGAGAGGCGACGGCGGGGAGGAGGGAGAGGCAACGGCTGGGTGGGAGGTACTAGCGACATTGGGGTGTTACTAACAGGGAGAGAAGGAGAGTAGCTAGGAAGGGAGTCGCGAAGAAGAGTAGCTAGGTAGGGAGTCGCGAAGAAGAGTAGCTAGGTAGGGAGTCGCGAAGAAGAGTAGCTAGGTAGGGAGTCGCGAAGAAATTGGGGTGGGGTTGGGTTGGAGAAGAAATTGGGGTGGGGTGGGGAGGAAAGGTGCTTGTCGAGAGGAACCAAGAACAAGAACCAAGAAAAGAGATTCTTGTTGACAGCTGTGACAGGGACGGGCACTGTACAGATGTTCTCGTTTATAGTCCGACGGATCAACATCGCCGCGGGCGGACTATGTGGCAAAACCTTCGAACCCCAGGCAAAACGCGATACTTAGTCCCGTTCAGGAAAACTGCATGAAGAGTGGTTGTTTTGCTACTAGTTTTTGGAGTTTGGCATTTACGTAGATTTGGACCGCGCTTGCTTGAACTTCCAGTCGCGCGGTTTTCCACGCTGATCAATGTCGCATGACTAACGGTCAAAACAAAACAAAATGAACTATGGTTTGGGGGTCGAATAGTAACCCAAAAACTTCTTTTCTACCCAGTAAGCGAGATAAACGAGATGTCGTCGTCGATCGCGCTGGAGACAGCACGACCGGATTGAGAAGTAGTCGCGGTCAAGAGAAACAATTACTTACCATTTAAAAGTTAAAATATCGAATCGACGATCCCTTCTTCATCGTTTTCCATGAATGTTGGGGCTGGTTCGATATGGAGCCTCTGATTGGCTGCGGAGCTGATTCGTGCAATGATTCGGTCAAGCTGCCAAATTTCCCGCCAAAAACGGGACTATAGGGGTCGGGCCAATCCTAGGCGATATCGGAAAATTCTACTCAGAGGGGAAATGAGACTCTCTCAGCGAAGGCCTCTAACCCGGAACATCTGTACTTCATGCGCTTGGTTGGGGTTGTCTTGGAGCTGGCGACAAATTTTCTGCCAGCGCAGAACGAGGCAATGAAACTTTTTTACATTCTGTACGTGGGAATATGCGCACAAGGGCGAATTGCAAGACCTGGGCACTTGCCACAAAGATGTACAAACAAAACTTGGGCCCCTGGCAAAAATACGCACACACTTTATTTGGAAGCTAGTGTCACGTGAAAACACATGCGTAACCACGCCATCCAGCTAGTTGACACATCCTACACAATTGTTGCAGACATAAAACCCGCTATTATAAACTGATAAATCAGTACAATAACTGAAAAGAAACAAGGAATGAATGAACTATGAATGAATTGGGTACAAGTACTAACCCTAATTGGGTTGTACCCCTTGTGGGCTACCCCACTATAGCCTACACAATATGCATGAGCTATAATGTTCTGACACACCCCCATAGGCAAAGTGGGGGAGAACAAGGGATCACAAGACCAGTCAAGCAAAGCAAAGCAAAGCAAGCTCAGGGTGGATCACAAAGTCACCACACATTCCGAGCACAAGTTCAAGGCCACAAGGCCAGTTCACATGCAGGAGTACATATATATAAAAAGACTAGACAAGCAAGAGCAGGTATATATATATGTAACAGTACAAGCAAGGTCAAGAGGTGAGCAAGTGAGGCAAGGTAGGCACAAGGCCCAGCTGAGTACAGAAGCGCTGATGGTCACAAGGCGCAAGCGCCTTGGTGAAGATATCAGCAGTGTTGGCCTCAGAGGCCACGTACGCAAGACGCAGCTGACCACGCTGCTGCAGCTCACGAGCAAGAAAGTAGCGGAGAGCAATGTGCTTCGTTCTGTGCTCCAGTCGCTGCTCCCGACACAAGGCCAGCATGGCCTTGTTGTCTACGTACAGCACTGGAGGAGAACGAGGCAACTCTCCGAGGTCAGTCAGCAGGTAGGTGAGCCAGCGAAGCTCCTGTGCAGCCATGGCTCCTGCGTAGATCTCAGCCTCACAACTGGAGCCGAGAACAGAAGACGAGCGAGTAGCCCGCCACGAAACAGAGCCGGAACCAAGGCTGAAGGTGTAACCCTGTGACGACCGCTGCGTAGCCTGGTCGTCAGCCCAAGAAGCGTCTGCGTGCCCAGTAAGGACCACTGGACTCTGCCCTCCAAGCACAAGCCCCATGCCCGACGTACTGCACAAGTAGCGCAACACCCTCTTCGCTGCAGCCATGTGCTCCGGTCTGTGTCTCCCAGGAGCAACATAGCGTGCAAGAATGCTAAGAGGGTATGCAAGGTCAGGTCGTGTGCAGGTCATCTGGTACATGAGGCAGCCAACAAGCTCTGGGTACGGGCCACTCGACTCTACGGACTCATCCGAAGGCAGAGCTGAGAGCGAGTGGCGAGTAGGCAGAGGAGTGGCCTGAGGCGAGGAGTACGTGAAGCCGAAGCGCTGAAGGACCTGCTGCACCATGTGTGACTGAGTCAAGGTAATGGTGCGGCGTGCTCTGTCCCGAGTGATCTGCAAGCCAAGGTAGCTGCGCAGTTCACCCAGGTCTGTGCACGTGTGTCTCTTCTGCAGCTCGGACTTCACGTGGGCTAGTCCTGCAGTGTCAGCTGTGGCAAAGACCAAGTCGTCGACGTACACGAGGATGTAGAACGGCGGCAAAGAAGTGTCGGTGCGCAGAAACAGCGACGGGTCGGCAGTAGAGGGAGCAAACCCAAGAGCCGCAAGTGTAGTCCTCAGTGTGTCGTGCCACTCACGCGGTGCCTGGCGGAGACCGTAGACTGGCCGCCGTAGGCTCCACTGGGTGCCAGGAGGAAAAGACCCAGTGAAGCCAGGTGGGCGACGCAGCCAGATCTCCTCGTGCAGACTGCCCTGCAAGAAAGCAGTGCTGAAGTCAAGAGAGTGTAGCTCGTAGTCACGGTGAGCAGCTACGTGCAGCAGTACCCGAAGAGTGGTCATCTTCGGGGTGGGAGAGAAGGTCTGAAAGTAGTCAACTCCCTGCCGCTGACTGAAGCCACGAGCCACGTAACGCGCCTTGAAGACAGGCGGAGAACCCGGCGGTCGCTTCACCCTGAAAATCCACATGCCACTGACGATGTTCGCCCCAGGAGGGGGAACAGCGTCAACGTAGGTGCCTGTGGACTTCCAGGAAGCCATCTCTGCGTCCATAGCTGCCTGCCACTGAGAGGAGTAGGGACCCTCTATCGCCTCCGCGTAAGAGCGCGGAGTCGGGATGTCAAGTGCATCCGGGTCTCCCTCAGGGGTAAGCAGTACGGACACGAGATGAGGTGAAGCAGCGGCCAAGCACTGGAACTCCTCCTGCCTGTCCTCAAGGACGTCCGTGCCAAGGGCACACTCACCCCCGACGGACGGAGGATAGACAGACTCAGACTCAGCAACAAGACTGGCGACGTAGTCTAGGCGACAGCGAGCAGCAAAGTCGACGAGCTCAGCAACTAGGGCAGACGCAGCAGTGGACTCAAAGGAAGGGTCAGTGACAACAGTAGCAAGGAGACGCGTGACAGTAGGACTGGCAGCACGAAGAGAGTCCGACTCCGGGTCAGCAAGAGCAGGAAGAGAAGACTCAGGAGGAGAAGGCAAAGGGGCACGCAGAGGAGCAGTGGACGGACACAGAGACATCCGGTGCGTGCCAGGGACAGGAGGAGGACGCTGACGCGAACCGCGACCACTAGTGCGAGCAGCACGGACAGGCGACGCAGGGCGAGACGCAGGCTCACGACGCTCAGCAAGACCTCCAGTAGGACCAGTGTAGGGAGACGGAGCAGGCAGTGGGGAGGCCGGCTGTAACTGTAACTGCGACGGGACAGGCTGTGGACACTCTAAGGGAGGAGGAGGACCAGTGGAAGGCGGGAGACCAAGAACCTGCTGAAGGAGCGGAACGAAGTACGGCCGAGGCCGCGCGGCGACTCCAGACACAGGAGGGACAGCACCAGCACCCGTAGCAGCTCCAGCTCCAGAACCCCCAGCAGCACCAGTAGTACCCCCAGCAGGACCGCCTCCAGGACCGACAGCAGTAGCCTCCGCGCCAACACCCGCAGCAACTCCAGCTCCAGAAGTACCCGCAGGTCCAGCTGCTCCAGTACTCCCAGTACGAGCACCTCCGGGACCCGTGGCACCAGCTCCCTCAGCAGCAACAGAACCTCCAGTACCCGCAGCACCTCCAGCTCCAGCAGCTCGCCTCCAGCGCCGGGCAAACCACTCACGCAGCTCCTGGGGAGAGAGCGGCTCCCGGCGAGAAGGAGCACCCGGAGAACCGCCAGGCACAGCACCACCAGGCGTAGCACCCCCAGGCTCAGCACCTCCAGGCGTAGTACCACCAGGCTCAGCACCCCCAGACGCAGCACCCCCAGGCTCAGCACCTCCAGGCGTAGGACCCCCAGGCTCAGCACCCCCAGTCGTAGTACCCCCAGACTCAGCACCCCCAGACTCAGCACCCCCAGGCTCAGCACCCCCAGGCCCAGCACCCTCAGCAGCACCAGAGTCACCAGCGACCTCGACAGGCTCAACAGCGTCTACCTGGGACACACCTGAAGGGGCAGGACCCTGAGGGGGGAGGGGGTCTACCGGGGGGGGACCTGGTACAAGGAAGAGCGGTGGCGGGGGGAGGGACGGAGTGCGGTAGGGGAAGAGGCGGTAGTAGGGGACCGACTCGTCGAACGTGACGTCCTGGGAGGACAGAACACGGCGAGAGGTGGGGTGGTAGAACTGCCACCCTGGGGCGTCAGGGGGGAAACCCAGGAAGACGCAAGGAGCAGCACGGGGGGACAGCTTGTCCGCAGACAAGTCGCGGACAAACGCTCGAGATCCCCAGACACGGAACGCAGACGCATCGCCAACCTTCCCCGTCCACAGCAAAGCTGGGGAGGTCTCCGGCATGGAGACCCTGGGCTGAAGGTTGATCTGATGCGCCGCGTACCGAACCGCAAACGGCCACAGAAAATGGGGGGCAGCCGCATGCATCATGGACGTACGGGCGACGTCCATGACCATGCCAATGCGGCGCTCAGCAATCCCATTTTGCTGTGGAGAGTCCGGAAGCGTGAAGGTCTGGCGGATGCCTCGTGCACGACAGTAGGCTCGCAGAAGGCCAGAGGAGAACTCTCCGCCTCTGTCAGAGTGCAGACGCAGAACAGGAAAGTCCGAGCCGAAGTTCCGCCTGAGCTGGAGACGAGCTGCGCGGATCCAGTCGATCAACACCTCAGTGACATCACCCTTGCTGCGCAAGGGGAAGACTGTGGTGTAACGCGAGTAGTCGTCAACCACCAGCAGGAAGTAGCGCTCGTGACCCTGTCCACGGACGCGGGCCGGGCCCCACACGTCCATGTGAAGCGTCTGCAGCGGGGCCTCTGTCGGAGGAAACTGGGAGGA